CGCCCGTGCCCGGCCCCCCCGCTGTCACTGCCGCCACCACACCACTGGCCCAGGATGCGAGAGCTGCCGCCCGTCCCATCGCGACTGGCCCTGGCGGCCTGCCACGCCCCGGCACCCCCACCCTTGCCTGCGTGAGTCCTGGGCCCCCACTTCCCTGCCCTCACCTGTCACTGTGTCCCTTGTCCCCTCCCATTCCAGAACCATGTGCTTCCTGCTTCTCCCCACACTGTCTTGGCCTCAGGGGTCCCCTCTGAACCTCCTTCCCACAGCCTCTCGCCACTCCCGGCCTGTCCTGCATTTCAGCCACATACATGGCCCTGCCTGCCAGCCAGGAGCTCGTCTCTCCAACACTCACAGACCCACAGTGATGATGATGTAAACATTTTCCAAGCACCCAGCCTAGGACCTGGGTGGCTGCAGGCACTCGGGTGACATTTATTGAACAGCTGAGGGGAACAGGGCAGCTGGACTTTCCTGAATCCTCAAATCAACTACATGGCGAAAGTACTCAGTTGTTAAACACATATTTACGCCGGGCTCGGTGGCTCAGCCTGTAATCCCGCGCCTTTGGGAGGCTGAGGTGAGTGGATTGCCTGAGCTCATGGATTCGAGACCCGCCTGGGCAGCGAGGCCTCATCTCTACATTAAATCAAAAAATCAGCCGGGTGTGGTAGCGCATGCCTGTAATTCTGGCTACTTGGAAGGCTGAGGCAGAAGGATCGCTGGAGCCCAGCAGGTCGAGGCTGCGGTGGCCAGGAGTGGCCACTGCACTCCAGTCTGGGCAACAGAGTGAGACCCCAACTCAAACAAAAAAACAAAAAAACCCCACATATTTACCAGTCACCTACTGTGTGCCAGGCAGGTATTGCCATCAGGCCCATTTTACAGATATAGAAACTGAGGCTAGAGTTTGGAAGTCCCCAGCAGTGGCTGTGTATGGCAGGGCTAGGATCTGAGCTCAGGAAATCACATTCTGGTGTCTCAGTTTGTCCCTGCCAAGCTCCTCTTGGGTACTGTCATGCCAGGTACCCTAGGGCAGCAGACCGAAGCACGGCCTTGGCAGCCAGTCAGTCAGCCTACTTTGGCTGGAATCCCAGCTCCTCTGCTTACCAGCTGCTGTGACCTGGGGCAGGTAGCTTAACCTCTCTGCACCTTGTCGCCTCCCTGTAGAGCAGGAAGAATAAGAGCATGTCCTTCACACACTGCAATGAAAGTTCAATGAGGGAATATACACATGGCCCTTTGAATAAAGCTCAGTATGGCACCTGGCCCGAAGGAAGGGCTTCCTGAGCATCTGCCAAGGTCACCTCTCCCCAGGCGAGGAAGGGGAGGCACAAGGCCATGTGTCACTTACCGTAAGTCTCACTGCCAGCAAGGAACTGGACTAGGGAGCCTGGCCTGCCTACATGCTGTGGTGTCCACTGGGTCACCCACCTGGACAAGTGCCCCTAGAAAGGGCCCACTTCCAGACCGTCCCACCTCCCTCTGGCAGCCCCTCTCACAGAGACTCTGTGACAGCTCGTTCCTACCTTCCTCCCTCCTCCAGCCTGTGACCCATGCCCTAGGGTAACTTCCACCGACAGACACAGACAGACGCATCCCCTGGCCTTCCCACTCCCTCTGCCTCTCCCTCACACATTCTTTGCCTCCCTCCCCTCTATTTCCTCCTGCATGAAGAATGTCACGTGGACCAACTTAGAGACCATGCTTGTCCTCAGCTCTGCACTCTGGTCCCATCTCCATGCAGGACTTCCCCGAGGCCACCATTATCCAGGTTCTCTACCCCCTACCTCCTCAGGGCCTCCTCTCAGTTGGCTGGTCCCTACCAGCAAGAGGAGACTCACCTGGCCTGAGGGTGGGGTGGGCCACATCCTGGGCCTGGACAGGGCCTGGGAGCCGGGATGGTCATCCTCCTGAGAGTCGCCATATCCTCCCAGGCTGAGCTGAACGCTGCCCTCCACACCTGAGTAGGAGACCACAGTGCTGTGAAGGGTCTGAGAGCAAGGGATGAGACTGACTCCCGTGGCAGAGCTGCTGCCTTTACATGGGAGTCTGCATCTCCCCTCCTCCATCCAAGGTGTACCGAGGGGAAGTGAGGCAAAGCAGTCAACCTTGGGTCAGAAGGAATCGAGGCCTGACTCCACCCACCGATCCCCTGAGTAGCCCCCTCTGATGTCCACGAAAGCCTCCGGAGAGAGGGATCCAGAGCCCCACCAGAGATGGAGAAACAGAGGTTCAGAGAAGGGGAGTCACTCTCTTAAGAACATACAGCTGTCTCAGCTCCTGACCATCCCAAGACTCTTCTGGGCTCTCAGGGATCTGCCAGTCCAGAACTCCCAAATCTCTTTGAATCAAAAACCTTTAAGTCCAGGTCTCTTCAAAAAGTGGCCCATGAACCTGGCATTGGCATCTATCTCACTCTAGGATGCCTGATAGAAATGTAGATCCCAGGGCCCTGCAGAAGTCCTGGAATTTGTTTTCTTTTGTTGCTTTTTTTGAGCCAGGATCTTGCTCTGGTGCCCAAGCTGGAGTGCAGTGGCATGATCATGGCTCATTGTAGCCTTGAACTCCTAAGCTCAAGAGATCTTCCTGCCTCAGCCTCCCAAATAGCTGAGACTACAAGTGCAGGCCACCACGCCTGGCTAATATGTTTTTGTTTTTGTTTTTAAAACATTTCCTGGCTGGGCGAAGTGGCTCATGCCTGTAATCACAGCACTTTGGGGGGCTGAGGCAGGATAGCTTGAGGCTAGGAGTTTGAGACCAGCCTGGGTAACATAGCAAGACCCTGTCTCTACAAAAAATTTTTTTTTTTTTTTTTTTTT